AAAATATTGAAGTCCCCAAACATTTTATGGCTTTTTTGAGAAGTTCAATAAAATCTCTCACTATCAATGTTAGAATAATGTGTATTTGCTGTTAACCTCTTCAGATATTTGCCATTAATTAAAGGCTATTCACAACACTAGGAAATATGCACTTTACTTAAGACGGGGCCACGGAGAAAACTCAAATTGTCTAGTTCAAATGAATATCTCTGCTTTGAGACTGATAACAAGAGAACATGAGCCAGTGGATTTCATTTTCACATGGCCTTTCTTGTTGTAGAAATACTAAATCAAAGACAGCTAATTAAATATGCATAAATTATTGACTATTTTCAGCGGAGGTCCTCCTAACTTGAAGGGTATAAAATATTTTGACCTAAGTTTTTGCCATAATCATTTACTCGCCAAACCCAACATTTGTGCCAAGTTTGAGCGAAATCGGTGATTTGAACTGTATCACATCCTGCCTGGTTTTTTCATGGACACACTCTTAAAAACTTGTGATGCTATAGGAAATAAGTAAGACGACATTTCTCCAACTTTTAGGTCTCTGCGTTTTCCCAAAATTCAGATATTCGTCGAAATGTTTCGCAGAAATTTAGAGAGCCCAGTATGGAAACGCTATGTTGGTGTGTACTAGGCCTCCGCGGTACTCCAATATGGCGGCCAGAAAATAGTGTAACCATCTGGAGCTTACTTTGGCTATCTAGGCGACTGATCATCTGTACTGAACAACTAAGCTTTCACATGAGCACTTTTCCTACTGCTCTAACTTCTAAAATGGCTAAAATTCATGAGAGAAGTATATATTTTTCGACAAACCCGATCGTAGCGTTGTGACGTATTGCCATAACTCGGCTCTGAAATTCAAAATGCGTTGGTTTCCAAACAAAGGACACGATTGAGCTGTAAAATTGTCAACAGATCTTAATTTACTGCCTCTTATGCCTGATGAGGATAAAAACTTCGGTGGCTCTTTAGTTTTGGATTTTAGAAAATGATAATGTTACGTGAAAGATCTTTATTTCACCAAAATTTGTTTGCCTAAAGTTTGGCCTTGACCATAGACTTGCATCGAGAACGACAAAACAAAATTACAATCTACAAATTGCAAATAAAACCTGATATGATAAAGGGAAGATAACTTACCTTGTTTGACGGGAGAAACGAAAAGTAGCGCGTATATGTTAGTACAGCACTAAGGGAAGCCTTTCCAAAGCGTTCCTTCAAAATATATTAAAATCGAAAGTAACACGGCATGACGTCATACAAAGAGTGCAACATCAGCAAATACAACAATTAGATTAAAAATGGCATATTTCCCTCTCTTTCTTGCGCCATAGGAAACTTAAGCTTCGAATAGTATTTGTTAGATTTATAAGGAAAGAATACAGAAGACTCAACAATTTATGGTGTAGCGAAATTGTTCGTTTAATACCTTCTTTTAAATTCATCTTTTAGTTTCCACCACATAAAGTTACCCCGGCATTGTTTTTAATCAAAGACGATTGTGAGGCAGGAACAGACGCAGACCGGAAGTTTACGTTCTTGCTTTTGGCAAGTTTTCTCTCCCACTTCACTGAGTTTCGAAACTGCCATTGTACCATTTATGATAAGTTTAGCGAAAAGCCGATCATACACGCCAAAGGAAGAAAATTCGACTTTCAGCTGACAATACAATACAGTACTGGTTTATTCATCACGAATAAAGCAGTATTGTATTGTGTTGTATTGCATTGTATTGTCGGTCTCTGTTTGTGCTTAAGCTAACTAAAGCTCCCCAAAAGAGTTCGTTGTACTGTGACAAGGAAGCCGAAACTTTGCAAACCGTTCTTGTTTCAGGGTGACGGTCAAAAACAAGATTATAACCTACAAATTACAAGTAAAGTTTGACAATAAAAGGTAGAGAATTTAGCTTGTTTGAAAGCACATTTCCTATTTCCAATTGCCCATAATGCACTGTGTTTCCCCCAGATTTTGCGTAAAGTATTTTTGTGAAATAATGCTTGGTTAATGCTTCATTTGCGACTGATGAAGGGGTTTATCCCAAAACGTCTCTAAAGATGCCACATAGCACTTTTCGCTAACTTAAACTAAAGTAATTCAATTCAAAGTGATATACAGCAACAACTTGTTTTTATTGTTGTGAAATGCAGAACTCCCAAAAGCATTTCACAACAGTAGTTTAAGCGAATTTTTTGGTGCAAACAGAGTGAATTATGGGCAATTGGAAAATAGAAAATGCAAAACAGAGCATGTAAGTTGCTAGTCTCGAAACCGCAACTAATTGTCATAACGTCATACGAGGAAGAGAATTCAAAATTCTGCAGATAACTGTAAAATGATTGACTCTTCTCTCCTTAGTTTCTTCCCATTCATGTGCCATAGCAATCTTCGGATCGTAATCGTTGGATCATTCAAGAAAGGAATTACCAAACCCGAGCATTTTTACATTGGCAAACTTTCCGGTTTTTTAAGTTGCTCCCCCTAGTAAATTCATAATTCAGTATTCACGCCCCCATTAACTTATTAAATGGAGGGTTTCACGGTTCGGCGTATGTCTGTATTATTTATTCGCCTGTGCATTCTTTTTGGCCCAGGCCCAATTTTCATTGTTTATGAACCAACCGTAGGCAAGTAACCTAATTTCGCATGCAAATAGCCGTAAAATTATCAACCGTAGAATAAATCGTACGGTTTAAGACTAAATTCATTCTGCCATGACTAATTATAGCATGTGATTACTGAATTACATCTGCGTGTGGTTTTTAAAGCGGTGACATTAATTAGAAGCGAGCAAACGTATTTTGATTTAGAGACATGCGCCGAACCGTGAAACCCTCCCTTTAAACTGCCACTTCATCTTGGCTGTACTTTCTACCCAACGCGAGGTAAGCATCTTTTTCTTTGTGAAATCATAACCTAGGCTTTGTAAGAGACGCAGCCTGTCTCTTGCCCTAACATCCGTTAGAAAGAACAAAAAACGATGAGCCAACGAGCAGGCTCGCCGCTCGCATATGGGGCTCGTTAACTCAGTTTGCCGTCTCCGAGATTTTTTGAGCGAAATAGAGAAGCTCGAAGTCTAGGAAGATTAGAAAAGATCACAATATCGAAAAACAATTCAGCGCTGTTCAAAACTTTGTCGAGGTTTTATTTTTATCTGATGTCATCCGAAATTAAGGTGTAGACAAAAGACGCCAGTTTTGTAGCTTGCCACCGAGAAAAGTATTTCGAGGGTAAATTTGTTCATTACTTAACTGGAATTTTTAGTATGTCTTGTGTTTGTCTCGTGATTATCCA